CGGTCCCTGGGACATCCCACTTCCAGAGCACACACTGGAAACCGGGGATGTGGTGGGGAATGGAGGAGATCTGTACTTGTGAGACCAGGGCAGCCAACGTAAACAAAATGCCTGGTGATTTGAATGGGGCACAGCACGTCTGACCATTCCTCGGGGTTTAGGAGTGCATAGACTGCACAGTAGCCCGGGCAACATGTCGCTTACCTCAACAGGGTAGGTCAAGTAGGTCTTGCAGGGGTTGTCCTGGTTAGTTGTCATCCCAGCCGCCTCATTAACGATCCATTGCTGCTGTTCAGGCGTGCGCGGCGTGTTCCGTGCCTTGACAGCAACTTGATGCTCCTGTTATCGCACGGGGGTGTGGGATGGGATACAAAGGTAAGGGTGGTGAGTTCATGGGTTGTATAAGGCGACATTCAAACGACAATGTCTTTGGCATGAAAGCTCACCTTTGCAGCATAGCAGATGCTGCACGGCATCCGTGATCCATGCGAGAGTGTGCAACTGATCTTGTTGCTCTCGGGGTAGTCGCACACCCACGCGTACAGCAGGGGCCGCACGGTTTGCCAATCACCGAAAGGGTCCCTAAGACGGAACCCGCTGCAAGGAACAGGTAGAGTGGCATCAGGAATTGGGAGGACATGATTTGTGCATGTACGAAGAGGGGCAAAGGGGACTGCTACATATCGTGACGCCCTGCATACTATGCAGGTGATTGGGTGACGACATAGCAAGATGCAACAGCGGGTACGGACCTTTCCATGCCATCGAGAAGCGGCTGCAGCACAGTGGTGACGCATCGCTGGAAGAGCATCACCTTCTCCACGGCAGACATTGCAGAAGGGGGGATAGGAAGGAGGGCAAGTAGCGTGTGGCCGGCTTTCCCCCATCGTTTGGCCTGGGAGATGTTGGCAAGCGTCATCATGAGCGGCCACGCCTTCTTCCGGCCGTTGTTGCTCATGTGCGTCACATCCGAATACAGGATGATTCCCCCCACGACTTGGGTCCATCCTAAGTGTTCCTGCAATGCACGACAAGGCGGCAACGGACACACGGTCAAACACCACCAAGGTAACTGGTCGCCAGGTGGGTTAAACGACCTTCATAGCATGTTCATCGAACATCACACACTCATCATGCACCAGACACATCAGCGCAGCAACGGAGGCATGAGCACGGATCCGGTTTTGGGTGGCAACGGGGTATATCCATACCTGAGCATCATTCCACCACGTTCCTGTTTCCGGCGTGGTATAGCGACGGTCGCCTGTGTCAGGGTCCTCATCGGCCCGCGCCTTGAGCTTGAAGCCGGGCGCGTTGTTGGTATGCCCAAATAGTTCAGCGAATGCCTGGTTTACGGTGGAGAAGGCAGTAGAGAAGAGAGGCATGGTTAGATGCGTGGATTGGTGGGTCCGATCTCATACAAGGAGAACGAATATAACTTCATACAAGCACCACAAGGTTGCCACATCAGCATTTCACTGCCAAGGATTCAGAGTCGGCTTACCTGAGCTGAGTTTTGGAATAGCAGGCGCTGAGGCGGATGACCGTCAATCTCGAATGTCACCACCGACCATCCGCGATTGAGCCCTGCCCAGCGCTCCATCTCGAACCGCTCCAGATCCTTGCAGTTCCGGAGCTCCGAGGTCACAAGAGGCGCAAGGCCGGGCTCTACCACGAGCTGAAGCAAGCCAGTGATGTCAACCTCTGCCATTCCCATTCCGCCATTCACACGCCGAACGAAACGAAGCAGCTTCAACGCGAGCGGATTGCGGGGCGTGGCATCGCTCTGTCTGGAGATGGTTGTAGGCGGCGAGGCTTGACTCCCTTCAGGCTGGCTCTCAGGATGCTCACTCGTGTCAGCTGCAAGTGTTCCTGGTTGCGGTTGATGTTCATCTTCCGGAGCCCCCTCGATAACGTCCGAGGGTGTTTCGTCCTCGTCAGCTTCAGGCACGCGAGGAGCACCGCTCACACTGACGGTGTTGGATGTGTTAGACGCGGTAGGTGAAGCGGGAGCAGCGGGAGCGTCCGAGAGAATGTCGTGACAAGGGGTCCGCCGTGACTTATGACCGCCATAAACTTGGGCGTTGGGGAACCATCTGTTGCAGAACTCGCGGACAACGCCTGGCAAAGAGCCCATGTGTTACGGATCCGTCTTAGAGTGGAGTAATGGTCTATGAAGCAACTAGCCTGTTTGACGTTTGTGAACGCATATACACCGTCAACGGAGGCAGTGACTGCAACACGGTCATCGCCAAAGCGTGAACTCTCCATGGCGGCTTGTATCTCTGCACGACTGGCACTTGAGCATGGCGCGATGGTTAGGGACTGGCTAACGATGGACGAGCAGCGCGGCCGTGAAAAGGCACGATACAGACCGCCAACAGCACGGCATTTCCCTTTCCTACAAGGCGTGTCGCCCCCTCTTAGAGCGACCACGACGTGAGCAGGGCCGTATGCACTGGAGTTTAGCACGCTTGGTCGTGAGGGTGCGTCGCGAGCACGGTGAGAAGTACGTGCCTCTTGATTCAAAACTTGGGTTTTTGAATCGTGCATGAGAGTCGAGGGGGATGAGGACGAGAGGGAAGAGATCTGTTTGGTGCTGTGATTCTTTCTCGAGTAGCTATAGGGGGGAAATCGCAATCACGTAGGTGAGCCCAAAGTGGTGCGCACCTTTAGAGACTTAATCCAAACCAGGTAATGACAATGTACAGTTACATTTTACATAGAAAGTTGATTCAATTATAATTAGTATTATACAAACATACTTATGGGCCTGCACAAAAACAAACCCTAATTGACAATGATAGTGTTTGAAAACCCTCCTAGTTCTCTAGTGTGGTATGGAAACATACGGGTATTACCCATGAACTCAGTGTGTTTCCGTAAGATTGTTGCATGTACCGGATATGTATATCGTCACTTCACAAGAGGTTTTGGGGACCTCAAAGCACCGTGCTGAATTAACATGCAAGAATGGAGCCCAATCTAATACAATAATACAATGGTTTCGTCGTCGGATGCAATACCACAACGGTATCACCATGACATGCAACACATGGGAGTGAACGATGCATCGTCGCCCTGTCTGAACATGGCTGTCGATAACGCATCACCGCTTGTGCGTCAGCCCTGTGCTTTATACCACTCCTTTAATGCACCTTTTATAAGGTCCATGCAAGAATTGAGCCCAATCCAACACCATACCACAACGGTTTCACCAAGTCGCGCAAAACATGGGCCTGGACGATGCAGCGTCGCCCCGTCTGAACATGGCTGTCGATAACGCATCACCGCTTGTGCGTTAGCCCTGTGCTTCATACCACTCCCTTAATGCACCTTTTATAAGGTCCATGCAAGAATTGAGCCCAATCCAACACCATACCACAACGGTTTCACCATGTCGCGCAAAACATGGGCCTGGACGATGCACCGTCGCCCTGTCTGAACATGGCTATCGATAACGCATCACCGCTTGTGCGTTAGCCCTGTCCTTCATACCACTCCCTTCATGCATCTTTTATAAGGTCCATGCAAGAATTGAGCCCCATCCAACACCATACAACAACGGTTTCACCATGTTGGCACTATTGAAAAACGTGTTAGATTTCGTACAGCGACGCGTAACCATTGTGGCATAGCCTAATAGTGCTCAGTTAAATTGTATGAAGTAATAATTCTGGACGCTCTTTGTGTGTGACATGATACAAACCCACTACCTTACCACAACCCCATACTATTACATTAGCAACCATTTTTTTTTAATTGTATTTGTTGTAGTTTTAAATGTTATTTAGCTTGTATGTGCAACATTGTTCGTTCGCGACATCACTGTACTTTGCAGGGTTTAGGTTGCTTTCGCTCAATTGGTTCAAAAACAGTTCCAGCATGACAATTCATTTGTGCGTTGGCGACACTGATTGGTCGACGCATCTCAAACGACCCCTCCCGCAACACAAGCACCCGCCAAGCGGTACTTCCGCCATTGAGCGGCTGTGATCGAGCGGTGGGTGGGTTTATGATCGGGTGGCTACACGTACACCGTCCGATCTAGCCTTATCTGATTACAGTAATCTCTCTAGTCGCGCAGCCACCCCAACCACCCTCGTGCCCCACCCACCTGCTTCCGTCACCCTCTGGCCCACAACTTTGACGCTGCTCGATGTTTGACACAGGCGTTTCTAGATCGGCCATGTTAGGTAGTACCAGTCAACTAAGTCATGGGCCGGAGCTCCAGCTGACTACTATTTCAGTATTGATTGAAGGCGGAGGTTTTCGGAGAGAGATGACAGAATACGCAAATTCGCATTCGTAAAACAAACATGACACGTGCAACACGGCAAAAAGAAAAGAAGGAGGAACAGGCCGGACGTCGCCGACAAGGAGGCTGTCTCAACAGACCGATAGGGAGGGTGGTGGTGGCTCTAAAGGTACTAATGCGTCCGCCGCGCGTGGCAGAGTGGTGAAAAAATTGGCTGGAAAAAAGGCCGCGTTTGGACAGGAGAAGTCAGGCAAGAAGGCGGAAGAGAAGGAGAAGACTAGTACTACTGCCACAGGGAGCGTGAGTCTTGCAGTCCCGTCGGCGGAGAGAGAGGGGTCGGCGACAGGGGGAAACCACGGCGACTCTCCCCGCGCCGAGCATGGCGCAACCCAGGAGTCCGAGGCGGAGGCATCCCAACACGGACTGACGCTGCTCCAGCCGACTGTGGTCGAACTTTCTACTGCCGTGGTGGAAAAGGCCAAGGCGGGGGAACACAGCATCGCCAACGTAGGTGGCTCTCCTCCTTCTGGTGGACGTGGGAGGCGTAGACAGAGGAAGAGCAATGGGGAAGAAGAGTATGACACCGCCGTGCCCGGGGACATCAATACGCGGTCGAAGAGGCGGCAGACAAGCCGCGGTGCTGACGACGACGGTGGTGCGGAAGTTGGGACAACGCGAGGTGCCAGGGAAGCAAGTGGCCAGGCGACGGGTCATGCATTGCGCAAGTAGGGCCGACCCGCAGCGAGGAGAACATCCGGCGGAAGGAGGGGCAAGAAAGATGAGGGGAATGCGGGGGATGAGGAGGAGGAGGCTGAGGAGGAGGAGGATGCGGAGGAAGAGGAGGATGAAGAGGATGCGGAGGAGGAGGACGCGGAGGTTGGGGAGGAAGAAAAGGATGAGAATGATGACGAGGAGGACGAAGAGGAGGAGGAGGAGGAGGACGAGGAGGGGGGCGACGAGGATGAGGAGGAGGCGGAGGAGGAGGAGGAGGAGGAGGAGGAGGAGGAGGAGGAGGAGGAAGAGGAGGAGGAGGAGGAGGAGGATGAGGATGTGGCGGCAGTGAAAGGACGGGGTGGGCGAGGCAGACGGGGAAGTGGTACAGGGAAGGTGGGGGGCCGGACTCGCCATTCCCGAAAACGCGGGGCAGGTGATGCCCCGCGTGGCGAAGCAGCGGGCAAACCGAAGACGCGTAAAGTGAAGGTCGAAAGCGAAGGAGTTGGTGAGAAGCGAGGGAGCCAGGGATCAAAAGGGGATGGTGAAGGAAAGGGCGGCCGCGCCAAAGGGGTTCCAGTGGGTTCCGGCAACAAAGAACCAGCCGGTAAACGTCGCAGCGGCCGCCAAAGCACCCTGCGGAAAGGTGGCAATGAGAAGGCGCGGGCAGCAGCAAAACCGAAGGGACAGCTGAAAGGTAAGCACTGTGGCCCAAACACATGACGTGGCTGCTGAACTCTCTGCTCAACCGTGCCAATTAACACATTTCTTCACATTGTTTCTCCCCTGCAAGGAAGGAGATGGTCGACGAATCTGCAAAGCAAGGTAAGGCCTCTTGTTACAAAACAGTAACCGTTTTAACCCGAATTAAATTCAAAACGCTGATCGTACGCAAGCATTTGTGCCCCTGTATTGAAACTAATCGACTCTAATTTTGTGCTCCTGCTCCCTATAAATCTCAGCCCCTCGTGTTACAGGCATTGGGCCACCGGTAAGCGTGCAACGGATGCAGCTAACGAAGGGGGCCGGAAGAGCGAGTGTTACCCCGCTATCCACAGGAGCCCCAAGGTTCTACACGCCATACTCCGGCCCGTCTAAAGTCGCTGCCAGGGCACCCGGCGCACCAAGAGGAGAGGAATCCGAATCCCCTCCACCAGGCCACGTCACGCACTCCCCACTCACCTCACCCACATACCCATTTCGGCAGCTCCACGCTTCTCCTGTCTGGGGCAGGGCCGTCTCCCCCCTCGCCGGTCCTTCGCGCGGCCAAGGGCCAAGCACTTCTGCCAATCCCTTCCCTGAGCTGCCCTTTTCCCGCCAGTGTGATAGTGTGAGGGCACACGGGACTGCTGCAGAAGACGTTGATCCCCTTGGCCAGAAGGGGGATCCTTCACACCCTTTTCCCCCGCTCTTGGGTGCCCTAGGTGAAAGTGCGGAGCACGAGCAGTTTGTTACACGGGAGGAGTTCCAGGCGCTACGGTCTGAGATGTACGCCATGTTTGCTCAGCTCGGCCTGCGTCGTGGAGCACCTGCCAGTTATGCCGGGGGGTCCGCAGTGGTGCCTATGAAAGGTATCCCGCCGCCGATGAGTGCCGTGGAGAAGGCACGAGTGCTAGTGTTGCAGGAGACAAACCCATTCCCGGTATGTGGCGGGCCAAATGGGGCGGGTTGGGGTTGACGTGGCAACTAGGGCGGGGTTGGGGATGACGTGGTGGTTTTGGAGGGTATAAGGGAGCGGCGCATGACGAGGCGAGGCGTGTTAGGTGGGTGGGGGGTGACGTGGCTTGGGGTGGGGAGGGTGATGTGACGGAAGGTGAGGGTTGGGGATGACGTGGCTTGGGGTGGGGGGGTGTGACGTGGGAAGTGGGGCGGGCTGTTGGTGGACGTGGCCGATGCAGGAGGGTGTGACGTGACGGAAGGTGAGGGTTGGGGATGACGTGGCGGTTTGAAAGGGCACACGTGAGCGGCGCATGACAAAGCGAGGCTTGTCAGGTGGGTGGGGGGTGACGTGGCTTGTGGTAGGGGGGTGTGATGTGGCAAGTGGGGTGGGTTGTTGGTGGACGTGGCGGATGCAGGAGGGTGTGACGTGGCAGAAGGTGAGGGTTGGGGATGACGTGGCGGTTGGGATGGGTACAAGGGAGCTGCGCATGACGAGACGAGGCGTTTAAGGTGAGGGTTGGGGATGACGTGGCTTGGGGTGGGGGGGTGTGACGTGGCAAATGGGGCGGGTTGTTGGTGGACGTGGCGGATGCAGGAGGGTGTGACATGGCAGAAGGTGAGGGTTGGGGATGACGTGGCGGTTGGGGTGGGTACAAGGGAGCGGCGCATGACGAGACGAGGCGTTTAAGGTGAGGGTTGGGGATGACGTGGCGGTTTGAAAGGGCACACGTGAGCGGCGCATGACGAAGCGAGGCATGTCAGGTGGGTGGGGGGTGACGTGGCTTGTGGTAGGGGGGTGTGATGTGGCAAGTGGGGCGGGTTGTTGGTGGACGTGGCGGATGCAGGAGGGTGTGACGTGGCGGAAGGTGAGGGTTGGGGATGACGTGGCGGTTTGAAAGGGTACACGTGAGCGGCGCATGACGAAGCGAGGCGTGTCAGGTGGGTGGGGGGTGATGTGGCTTGTGGTAGGGGGGTGTGACATGGCAAGTGGGGCGGGTTGTTGGTGGACATGGCGGATGGCGCAGGGTGTGACGTGGCAAGTTCACACAGTGTTGCTAGTCACCATCCCCTGGTCACGCGGCCACCCTCATAACTGCTGGTTTCTCTCTCTCATGTCGTGTTGTATACCCTACACCTCTGCGCAGAACAAAGCCTACTTAGTGTGCTCTCAGCTCATGTTTCTGAACCCGCCGGAGAAAATACAGTACTACCCTACACCGGAGGAAGTGTTCGACGCGTTCTCGGTCCACTTGTCTGCAGAAGGGCTCGAGGCAATGAAGCTGCTGTGGTTGCACAATGACAAGTCAACCATGGGAGTCTTCAACCACCAGCTGTCCTCAACAAGGTCAACTATCAACTCCACCCTCAGGCCAGCAGCATACACCCGGATGGGCCTTGCCGATTACCACCATCTCGTTGAAAGCCTGCCCCCTGAGCTACACCCAACGACCTGGTTTGACGACGATCAACTCCTAGCCGAGTACAGAGATGGTATGTGCAACTGGAAAACACCATATGCCAGTTGGCAGCTACATATCACCGTGCGATGTGGCTCACCCTGACTCTCATCCCCCCACTTGATTTCTCTACAAAACCCTTTCCAACCCTTACCCTCCCTGCCAAAATGCAGAACAGTGGGCCCTCAACTGGCACTTTGACAAGGCCACCGGGACGCCCTTCAGCAACCCCTTGTTCGCTTATGCGTTCAAGCTCTCCTTCAAGAGGGGCGGGGCGGTGTTCACCAAGATCAAGAGCCGCATGGTGGCATGGGGCCTATTTTCGGTAAGGATGTAGATATGTGTTTGTACCCCCATGCCTCATCCCCTTCACCCCTTGCTTGTACTTCAGCTAAATCCCTGGTCAATTAAGCCTTTGGAGTTACGTAGATAGTGACGACTGAATCACCGCTTTTAGTTGGCTCATTTACCCGCAACCCACCCTCCTCATAAACCATCCACCCAACCCTACACCACATTGCAGATCGAATGGCCCCTTCTGCAGGATAAGCGTCGAAAGCGAATCAGTAGCCAGCCGGAACCGAACAGGCCAGACTACCAGGAGTGGTGCGAAAAGGTCAAACAGATTATCAACTTTGTTGTCGTGGAGCGGAGGATCCCCCACGATCCGGCGAGGGGTGCGTTCGTCTTTCCGAAAAAGTTCCTCATCGACGATGGCGACCTTGGAGATGTCGTCCTTGCCCACCGGGCGCATTCAAGGCCCGCCAGTACGTAGGCTATTTGACCTGGTGCTAAGACTGATTGTAGCTAGTAGAATGCTGAATAATGGTTGTTGTAAACCGCAATAATAAATGCAATTTTTAAAATCCTCAATATCCAAAATAAACAAAAACAGAATTTAGTTTTGAATAATTTTGTCACGAATTTGCAACAAAACGGATTGCTCCCGAATGTCATCCGGAAAACCTGTTAGAATGTGAACGAATGAATGACTGAACTATAAAGCAGGTGGGTACAAGTAGTAAACCTAAAAGTGTTGTACCCTATAAGAACTACCCCACTACAGTCTAAACAGACTAAAGCATATAAGTTTGACACACCCCCATAGGCAAAGTGGGGGAGAACAAGAGGTCACAAGACCAGTCAAGAAAGGCAAAGCAAGCTCAGGGTGGATCACAAAGTCACCACACAGTCTGAGCACAAGCAAATGGCCACAAGGCCAGTTCACATGCAGAGTTATATAAAGGAGAGCAAACAATACAGTGAACACAACCTAGCAAGTGTAAGCGTGCAGGTATATGTATATAAAGAGTACAGTACAGGCAAAGTCAAGAGGTAAGCAAGTGAGGCACAGTAGGTACAAGACCTAACACAGTACAGAAACGCTGATGATCACAAGGCTGAAGTGCCTTGGTGAAAACATCAGCAGTGTTGGCCTGAGAGGCCACGTAAGCAAGACAAAGCTGGCCACGCTGCTGCAACTCTCGAGCAAGGAAGTAGCGCAGAGCAATGTGCTTTGTTCTGTGCTCCAGTCTGTGCTCCTGACACAAGGCAAGCATGGCCTTGTTGTCGACGTACAGAACTGGAGGAGAACGAGGCGCCTCTTCCAAGTCGGTCAGCAGGTAGGTGAGCCAGCTTAGCTCCTGTGCAGCCATGGCCCCAGCGTAGATCTCAGCCTCACAACTGGAGCTGAGAACAGAAGATGAGCGGGTAGACCGCCAAGAGACAGAACCGGAGCCAAGACTGAAGGTGTAACCCTGTGACGACCGCTGCGTAGCCAAGTCGTCAACCTAGGAGGCGTCAGCGTGATCAGTGAGGAGAACTCGAGCCCGTCCTCCAAGCACGAGCCCCATGCCCGATGTACTGCACAAGTAGCGCAACACCCTCTTCGCAGCATCCCAGTGCACCTTTCGGTGCCTGCCGGGAGCCACGTAGCGAGCCAGAAGGCTGAGAGGGTATGCGAGGTCAGGTCGTGTGCAAGTCATCAGGTACATGAGGCAGCCCACAAGCTCTGGATACAGGCCACTCGGCTCTACGGACTCGTCCGAAGGTGGAGCTGAGAGCGAGTGACCGGCAGGCGAAGGAGTGGACTGTGGCGAGGAGTACGTGAAGCCGAAGCGCTGAAGGACCTGCTGCACCATGTGTGACTGAGTCAAGGTAATGGTGCGCTGTGCTCTGTCCTGGGTGATCCGCAAGCCAAGATAGCTTGTTAGCTCACCCAGGTCTGTGCACGTGTGTCTCTTCTGCAGCTCGGACTTCACGTGGGCGAGTGCCTCAGTGTCAGAAGTAGCAAAGACGAGGTCGTCTACGTACACGAGAACGTAGAACGGCAGCAGAGTGGTGTCAGTGCGTAAAAACAGAGAAGGGTCAGCAGTAGAAGGAGTAAAACCAAGAGCAGCAAGAGTCGTTCTCAGTGTGTCGTGCCACTCACGAGGTGCCTGGCGGAGACCGTAGACTGGCCGCCGGAGGCTCCACTGGGTACCAGCAGGAAACGACCCAGTGAAGCCAGGTGGGCGGCGCAGCCAGATCTCCTCGTGCAGGCTGCCCTGTAGGAAGGCTGTGCTGAAGTCAAGCAAGTGGAGCTCGTAGTCACGGTGAGCGGCAACGTGCAGCAGTACCCGAAGAGTAGTCATCTTTGGGGTAGGGGAGAAGGTCTGGAAGAAGTCAACTCCCTGTCGCTGACTAAAGCCACGTGCAACGTAACGCGCCTTGAAGACAGGCGGAGAACCCGGCGGCCGCTTCACCCTGAAGATCCACATGCCACTAACGATGTTCACCCCAGGCGGGGGAACCTCGTCGACGTAGGTGCCTGTGGACTTCCAGGAAGCCATCTCGGCGTCCATGGCTGCCTGCCATTGAGAGGAGTAGGGACCCTCTATCGCCTCTGCGTAAGAGCGCGGGGTCGGGATGTCTGGTGCATCCGGGTCTCCCTCAGGGGCAAGCATCATGGACACGAGAGGAGGTACAGCAGCGGCAAAGCACTCAAACTCCTCCTGTCTGTCCTCAAGAAAGTTCGTGCCAAGAGCATACTCACCCCCGACGGACGGAGGTCAGACAGACGCAGACGCAGACTCAGCAACAAGACTAGTGGCGTAGTCTAGGCGATAGGCTGCAGCAAAGTCAACAAGCTTAGTAACAAGAGCAGACGCAGCAGTGGACTCAAACAAAGGGTCAGTGACAGCAGTGGCCAGGAAACGCGTGACAGCAGGA